ATTTATTGTATCAAGAAATTGAAGTAATTCTGCGAACATATACGGGACTCATATACACGTATACGACAGGTATAGTACGGTCGAAAAAAGTTAAATGATACGATATAAAGTATAAAACGAACGGAGAACACTTAAACATCTATTCTTCAACTTTTTTACCTTGCAAATAAAAAGATACATATCGATTCGAACCAGTGTCTTTAAGATCCGGCGAACTATTAAAAGACACAAAGAAGGAGACAAAAAATTAGTGAATCGAGATCGCGGGATGATTCGTCACAGGTTCATCAACCGGTAGCCGGGGACAGCTTCGGAATGGGTATCGGAGGGTATCGACAGGCAACAGGAATCCAGATAGTCATGGCACACGATGCATATATGTATACGTGCACTTGGTTGTTGAAGATGGTCGGGTTCTGGTCCGAGGCTGTGGTGTCCAAGGGTGTCCTTGAAGCGGGCGGGGTCGTCACTCGAGGGGCCGTGGGTAAACGACCATCAGGATTCCCATATGTGTTAGGCAGCCGGAGTCTTAGAGCGGATAGCGTATCTTACACTGGTGCTACTTAACTTTCTGCATCTGTATACGTGACGTTGTTCTACCTCCTTCCTTCTCCCATCTTTCGTTCATCTTTTTCTACCTCTGTCCCGTGGAATAAAAGAGGCCACTGGCACTCCCTTACTTTACAAGTGTTATGAAATGACGAGCCCTCTCCCACCCCTATTACTTTTTTTCTTAGTACTAATTTATAGATTTAATTACGGCGTCGATAATAATCGGAACTCCTGGAACTCCTTTTTCTTAATACAAATAGAATTCCAAATATTAATTTGAAGTCGAACACAAAAGGCGATTAATCGTAATGTTTCTTCACGTCAACGAGGAGAAACGATAAAGGGTTTGCAACAGATAGAGTAGTGTCATTGAAATATGATGAAAAATGCAAGTAAACAGATCGAAAGAGGGCACACAAGGGTGCATAGAAATCGTCGTTGAAGGAGTATAATTCACAGCAGAGGAGCCAGGCGATGCTCGACCAGTAATGAGCCAAATCCATTACGGCACCAGTAGCAATGTAGCAACATGCCATAAGACAGTCCTAGGACTCTGACTCCGAGTATTTTCTCTCTTTCCTTCTCTCCCATTCGATGGATCAAGAGACGAGAGGCAATGTACACGCGTGTATCTATGCCACGCACGTATCGCGCGGTAACAACCATCTAACCAATAGCACTGGTTCACTAGCAATTCCAATTATAGATCGTAAGTATATTCCAAGGAACCGAACTGGCATCTGTCCTCTCTGTGCGTCCGCGATCACGCCACCCCATCCATCGATCCAACCGCCTGTTCGCTTCCTGATTGCCACGAAACCAATTATGCGCGGAATCGGTCGAACAAATTGAATAGTTTTGGCTCACACCCCCACAGAATTGAGAGAATCTACCGTGTAGCTGAACGAGGTCGCTAACGAGATGAAGGAACGTGCATACCACAGATGTAACTTAACGTAATATGTGTTCCGAGAAAATGAGAATACAACTTGCAGAATGTCTAAACTTCACAAACATTTGAAGTATATGCACCTTTCTGGGCAGCAAAGATAAAACAAGATTAATGTACTGTTTTACGTATGAGATCTATCTGAATCCTATCCAACGAGATTAATAACGTTATAACTGACAATGAGAATTCTCTGAAAACATGCTACAAGGAAGTGAAAATACCTCGGTTCTTGGAAGACGCATCAATAACCCGTGCATGCATCTAATCCATCAAACCAATTAATATAAAAACAACTTATCAATCATCTTCTACGTACACGGCATCTACCGAGGGGAAGAGAGGAGGAACATGAAATGAGGAACACCCTATCGCACGAACTTCAGCGGTGAGTCGAACGTCGAAGAAGCCGGGAGACGATCACCGGACAATTTTCTAGAAAGCCTGGGACGAACGCGTGTCCAACCGGAGAAAAACTAGCTGGTTGCCGATAAATTCCACGAAGAAGCCGGCCGTCCGGCGCGAACTATGAGGGAACACCTTTTTGCCACGAGGTACCACCGGACATAAATCGCCCCGCACGGCCGCTGCCTGAATATCGACGCCGATTTTATAACTATCACGTAAGACACACCGCGTCTGGCATCGCTACAATTAAACGGAGGTTTGCAAGGTACCCGCAAGTTCGTTACAGCCAGGATACACCGGATGTACGTTACACAGGTGCACACGTACAGGGTGTTCCGCGGCAAACAAACGACAAGTTCTCAATATTTAATAACCAGGCCGCGTTCTCTTCTTCAACGGGAACATTACTGCGAGGATTTGAACGACGATTCTCACAACCTGAATGGAGAAAATATAAAGTGAATGCAAGCAAGTACAATCGACAACTGCTCGAAAGAATGTTTGCTCGTGAACTATATAGAGAACGAGTTCGGTGAAAATTTGACTTAATTCAAATCGAGTACATCTCTCAGATCTCCGCTGCACGGAACACCCTATATATTTGTGCACGAAGAGAGACAAGAAGAGGATGCTGCCGTGGCAGCGTGGAACACTGCGAGATGTAGCTTGGTAGAGAGGCGGGACGGTGGCCACTGGCGCCACGCAATTGTCAATTAACATTTTTACCGCCGTACAAGAAAACATGAAGTTATGTGGCAACGTACGCGTTCACCACGCTCAGACCACGGCCGAGCTCGATAGGGTTCCAGGGATCACGGTGCCAAAGAGAAACGGAGAACGAATTAAGACCAAGCTAAGGAAGCAATTGTAAAAAAGAAGACGAAAAGGAATAGAGGAAAAATGATAAAAAAAAATAATCGAAAGAATACATTTCATTATGATTATAGGTGCAGTATTTCGCTAAACGGAAGTGCCGCCCAATCTACACCGCAGAGTATCACTTAGAAATCTATAGAGTTCGTTTCCACACATGGAAAATTGTCCCGTAGAATACGTCGTAAAAGTTGAAGGAATTCATTTATCGCGCAACATCTCTCCTCTACTATTAAACCCTTGTTGATTATTTTTTTCATTAATGATTCACTTCATTATTGAAATATTTCTATTGATAGTGGCTAGTTTTGTAAGACGGCAATACAACTATCGATACATGCAGCTGGTAATGAACCAATATTTCCAGATTACTCGATTTTTATTGTATTCCCCGACGTTCTTAGGATGCTCGTAATATCATGTTACTAAAGGCCACGATAGCTTGGAATATTGCATTTAATAAACCAGTATCGGTTTCGCTCTCCATTATACAGAGTATACGCGATAAACTTTTCTACTCGATTCACTCTTTATTTCTGGTTTTCTTTCTAACGGTATGACCAACCGACAGCTCACTTTTTAAACGAAATCGATCGGGAAACATTGATGTTTATAGAAGAACAGACCAACTGTAATATATCATGAAATTCTTAGTTTATGTAATAGCTAGTTTTATGTAATAAAGACATTTTGTACTCATATTCATCTCAGCTAAAAATAAATGATAATAAATCTACCCTATTCATCCATACCTCTCGAACTCTCGAGTTAATAATAATCAATGAATATGAGAACAAGAAAAAAGGTACGAATAAAATAACGCATTACACTACTGATGCTGTTAGAAACAGTAGCAACGTTCGTTGCCCGCATGTTACACGATACCTCGTGAAGAGAAGGGTGTGCGGCATTTCACGAGATGCAAATGTCGGGCAGTCGGACAGCCAGTCAACCGCACCATCAACTCGAGCACTAGTGAACTACGCCAAGCGTGTCCCTCTTCATCTTCGGCTCCGCTTCAGCGGACCGATGACGCTCGTCGCAGATAACTCCGCAAACCGCAAAGCTACGAGTTACTGGCCACGGTCCGCCAACTCGCAGATATAAGCATGAAGTAGCTAGCTAGATGCGTTAACCATTGTCAAGGCCATTTCTCTCTCACTTATTTCTCACCACGAGGATAATGTTCTACCCCTAGCAAGTTCCTCGTCAATTGTAAATAACAATGAATGAAGATCTGGGAAACTTTAATGCCCAAAGTTAAAAATCCTACTCCATGTATATGTTTATATTTTGTGTCATAATTCAATATCATGTTAATCCTGATCAAAAACTTTTCGCCAAACGAACTACACCTCTTATGCTTGACATCAATATGTACACATTTCTTGAGAATCAGAGGAACTTTTCTAGGATTATGAAAATTGTTACGTGGACACAGCACGCGTCCGATAATTGTATTATAAGTCATTTAAATAGCAATGCATCGATAGCACTACACCGAAATCTCGATGGTGCAATCAATAACATACTGAGACAATCTGTACACTTAACAAAGTTATATGGTGAACCCTTTGAGGCAGAAATTCCCTGTTATAGTCCTTTTGGGAGCAATTAAAACTTTCCTTAAATAACGAACGACGCTACGCGAGGATAACAACACTGCTCAACAAGAACATATGATGCATGTATAGCGCAATTTAATTGTGAAATAGGTAATTTAAAAAGAAAGAACCTGATTGCATGAAATAATTTTAAAGACATCGCAAGAAAAATTGCGACAAGTACGAAGATGTATAGCGGAAAGACGTATAACAAACACAAGAAGTCAGCGGTTAACGCTCACAAGAAGAATAACAGTTTTAATCAGGTACAAATATTGTTCAATGAAAAACGGGACTAGGACGTTACACATCGTTCCTTTGAGTTATATTAGCTTGACGAGCGTGCGTTTAAACAACGATGAAAACAAAATAATTCGTTTTTATCCCAAACATGCCTGGCTTTCGAATATATCTGTACCAGACAATTTCCTATAATATTTAATATTTTTCACGTTTGTTTGCTGCTTGCTTATATGCGTACGATTACTTTGACAAAGTAAGATTTGATCGAATTCATAAATAAAACTAAGCAATCATTTTCATGTCCAGTTTTAAGCTATGCAATTACTTAAAAAATAGTAAATATTTTTAATATGAGAAATAGTATCACTTACCCTACCCTGTTGATCAGTTTTCCATGCACATGAAGGTAAGATGTGACGAATCGTTTATTCACCTAGAACACAAAATACATAGTATTTTTGATTATTAACCCCTTCCCGTGCCATTTAGCTCGACGAAACTATCTGTACTAATTATAAGTACTATCTGTACTAAGTATCTGTTCGCGACTCAGACTCGTGATATTTATGTTTGCCCCACGTATCTGGTCGCGAGTCAGACTCGTGATATTTATGTTTGCCCCAAGTATCTGGTCGCGAGTCAGACTCGTGATATTCATATTTGGGCAAAAATCTTCATCGCGAGTCTGAGTCGCTAAAGTACGGGAAGGGGTTAAGAAATTAAACTTGATACAGTATGATGCTTAAGGGTAGCTTATTTTTGTTGTAATGAAGAATGATAAAAGGGAGTGGAGATCAAAGAAACAGAAAAAAATTTATTTACCTCGACGCTGCTTAACTGAACCAATTCTTCTAAATCACTATGGGACAGTCGCGCTTCGTTGGCAGTGGCTGCAGTAGTTGTACGACGAACTCGTCTTCCACCAGGGTGAATCCAAATTTCTCTTCTCAATCCACCACCGACATTATTCGCGCCTTCTTTCTCTTTCATCCTGGCCCGTTCCTTCCATTCGCGTTCCTCTTTCCGTTTCCGTTCAGTTGATTCATACTGTTCAAATACACAAGAATTTAACCACACGTACAGTTACCAATAGAAATGAGAACAGCATAGTGCGTATAGCGTAAATGAGAGGTCATCGTACAGTTTTTATAAAAGTCCCTTCAAATATTTGTATTCCGTTAGGTCTTTTATATTCTGTTCTTTGATATTAATAGAAGATACAAGCACCGTAATCGTGAAACATAAAAAGCTCGATAAATATTTGTATCTTTCTATTTCTATTGTACTATAGCTGTTCAAACAGACGCATGCTAGTAACCTATGTGCACTAACGAAAATGGTGCCTCGATTTATTAAAATACAGCAAAATGCAATGGTTTATATGTTCTATAATAATTGAATTATACATTTCTATTTTTTGTGAATGCTTCTACTGTTTCAAATCACTAACTATAAGAATACTATCAGTTTCAAGCGTAGAATGATTTGCTCCCGAGTAATTGTGATTGTCGAAAGAGAAACCGACTGTATGTTCAATTAAAAGTCATAAGCGTGTGAAAAAGTATGTGAATGCGTACAGAAAATCTATACAGAAAAAATCAATGCACGTGAAACTGAAGTATATTAGGCAGCTTGAAGATAGGGAATTATTAATTCGAGCTTCAATTAAGGTGATGATTGCTATTTAAAGAAATCACACCAAGTATTGAAATTTACTTACATAATGTAGATACTGGCAGCGAAACAAAATCAAAATATTATTAAAGTTAGTATTAATACAAACTTATAACTAAAATATTTAATATTTGCGTACCTTCCTTCTGTTCTCGTCAAAGAGTGCTATCAAACTCTCTCTCGCAGAGTGGAAGGGATTGGATGCCATAAGAGATCGCATGTAATAATACACCGCATCTAATTTTCGTCTCTATAAACAAGATTCATAAGGAAATGATAAAATTATATTTTTTACTGTTTGGTTGCTTTTGATATCAAAATACGTACAGCATAATGTGCCAGTACTGCCAGCTGATTGTAGGGCCTCCCATTCTTTGGATTAAGTTGTTGTGCTTTCAAATACCATCTAAGAAATTGTTACAGTTTGTAAAAATAATAAACAAGCTATATTCCGAAAATTGTCTTGTTCTTTTTGTACTTACTGCCTTGACTTTCCATAGTTGTTTGTTTCATTTGCCTGCTCCCTGTATCTCGCCAAGTCACCCAAAAATAAGTATATCTTTTGCGCGCTTACTAAGGCTAAACCTAAGATCCCGAGACCCTTAGGCAAAGTTGACGATGCGAGAAACGTGTCCAATTTAAATTCGTATTTAGTTTCGAGAACAGTTAATAAGCTCTCTAAATATACAGTGCCATCGTCGATAATTTTTAACATGATCTTTTTGTAATGTTCTCGCCCTTCGGTATTTTCCTTAGGCATGCCCTTTCGTAACATCTCGATCATATTATAAAAAAGTATTTTCCAAAAGTGTTGCTCAACGTTCTCGACTTGACAAAATTTAATATCAGTCTCGAGCAAAGTTTTCAAACTGTCTTGTAAAAATTGTCTTATGGTCATAACTCCCTCCCAATTTGACGTGAAACCACCGGAACTCAGTATCCATTGTAATTCTAAATCGGCACGCTCAATATCCAAAAGCAAGTAAGGGTTCTTGGCTAAACGAAAGCTATAAAACAAAAAATTACAGTTAACATCAGTATAATTATACTTGTTTCGATTTATAACTGGCGATGAATTCATAAATTTCACGTACCTATCAGAACAAGGATCGTACCACGAAGGTCTTATATTTCCGAATTGGTCGTTTGTCATGTACGGTGGTGGCACACCGTCTAAGTGCACCCCTGGGAAGCTATGATGCGTAGAAGAAATTCCTCCATGCGACTGAAACACTGGTACAGTTGGACTTTGTAACGTAGTTTCATTCTCCCTATAAAAAGTAACATAATCGATGAACAGATTAACATTGTCATTAATGCGAAGCCAAAAATATTCTTTCACATAATTCTTTACCTCTGTACAGCTGCTCTGCTGTTGGGTGAAGTAATAACGATTGGTTTATTAGGGTTGTTGGGATCAAATAACGTTCTCTGCATTTGTTGTCCTTGTTGTCTTGGAGTTGGATGACTAGGCGGGGACTGGCTAGTATCAGGTAATATTAAAACACCTGGTGTATGAGAGCTTGTATATCCACTAGACGATGTTTGATGCGTTGTCACAGTATTTGATATCGAAACAGAATGCGAAGAAACATTAGGTGTTTGTCGTCCGTCATCTGATTCACAAGTTGACATTTTCCTGCCTGTTCTCCAGTTTTCATCTAAATGTCGATCGGGTAATCTGAAACAATGAAATATTGACACAATTATTTCAATATCATACGAAATGTAATTCTTTTTATATATTTTATACCTGTGTCTATGGAGATCGTCAAAATTTCGATTGCCACTGCGGTAATTTCTATCTTTACTAGATTCTCGACTACGTTGTATAATATTACGATGTCTTCTATGTTCGTATCTCCTACCACTGGTGTTACTGTTTTTTTGATTATTATTATAATTATCATTTTCTCTATTCTGTTGATTATTTTGCCGATCACGACTGTTAATACGAGCTTTATCTCTGCTGTTACTTCTTCAAAATGCAAGCAATGAATTTAAATATTAAGAGTATTATAAATGTACATTATTACTGATAGTCCAACAACTCCTACCTGCCACGTTCCGCATGCTTCTTATCACGCTTTTTTTTTTTACGGCTGCTCCGACTATGACCGGTTGTCGTGTTCTCGTTACCTAATGCATTAACATTTTCCCGCAAACTTAACACGGATGAGCTGCGGCTTGCACGCTCAGCCTCCAACTTCTCATTCAGTTCAACGTCTTCGTTCCAATCAAATGGATGGTCAAGGGATGTATTCAATGTAGTACTAATAGATTCGCTTTTCGAAGATGCAGTTGAATTTTGTTGACCATTTTTCTTATCTTGCGTTATGGTACGTTCGGATGTGTTACTTGTTCTTTGCGTTTGAGCGCGTTGGACAACCGCAGGCGGTGAAGTAGCTCGACGATGACTATCAGGCGATATTTGACGCTTATTTGCACTAGGTAATGAAGTAATCGGTGACGCCGACGACGGTGGTGGTATCATTGAACTATCAGCACGACTCAAACTCTCCATACTAGTATACATAGTGCTATTGCTACCACGACGATCGTAAGACCTAGTTTTCGTAAGACGTTAAAATTAGAGTCAGTAAAATATAATTAATTATGTATAAAGTAAATACGTTCGATAGAAACATATATACCTTTGCATATATTCTTGGCTTGGTGTATGAGATCTAGAACTTGGAGCTGAATACTGATCAGGCGTAACACACCTAAATATGTTTGTGGAATTTTCTAAGTCCTCTGGCCTAAGTCTACCTCTACCTCTAGTTCGTGGGGGTGCGGTATTGGACCAGTTAGGTTGCGGCGGTAGCGGACCAGATGGAGGTAAATTTTGCATCGTTTGCGAATGTTGCATTGCGGGTGGAAAATTATAGTTCGATGATGCCTTCAAATCGATCGTTTAGTTTGAAAGTATCTCGAAATTTATATAAGTTTTATCAGGGAAAAGATAAAGAAGTTAATTTTACCGGAAATGTAACATTACTGCTATTCCACGTATCCTCTAAGGGTGCCGTACTCGGTGGCAAAGGCAAACCGTTGTCCATTAGATATTTCTTCTGAAACCTTGGCGGTAAGTGCTCTATTTTTATATTTTTTGGTAAACTATCTTTTCCGCCACCCCATTTGCCAGATGGTGGTTTGCCTTGAAATTTTTCCGAATGTCCTGCGGGTTCTACGCTACGCGTATCTCTGGTACGATTAAAATCATTTATATGATTCGTTGTTACAAAAAGTGGTTCTGAACCCTGAATAAGCGAACATTAGAAATTAATTGCACGAAAAAAATTATTATATGAGGTCAAAAATGTTGAGATATTCCGAACCTGTCTGACCTCACGCGAATTATCTTTCCTATTTCTGTGGCCTCTGCTGGATAAAGGAGAATCAGATCGCCAACGCTCTTCGTTCTCATTACCGTGACGTGATCTCCGGTTGCCCGAATATCTTTTACCATGATCATCACTGTTTTTACTTCTGCTCTCACTGTCTCTCCTACCACGACCGTTTGACCGATTACGCTGACTGTCACTTTTATAACTACGATTGGAATGAGAATCACGATCCTCACTACGCTCTCTCTCTTGATCCCGATTCCAGCCCCCTTGATTGGGAGATCTAAGGAAGAAAGATAATATTTTCATTCAATCCACATAGCTTTTTGTTAGTAACAAAACAAAAATATCTTTTACAGTCATTCACCTATTTGTTGTATCTTGTTCTGCCAATGCTTCTTTAACTCTTTTGGGTACGTACAATTGTTGTTCTGGTTTCTTAGTTTTCCTTTTCGAATCTCCAGAATTGCTATTTTGAGAAGAGCCTTGTGCCTGTTCAACGTTTGTAACACCTCTGTAGTTAATATTTAGATCATTCACTTTTTCTGTTACATTTTCAATTTGCGATGATGGTGGACTATTTTGAGATTGATTGGGTCTATTGAGTTGTGATTGTTTTAAATGATGTTGGACGGAGCTTGATTTAGGTTTTTCCTGCGAGATATTTTCATTATCTAGATCATCCGTAGGTCTGCCTGATTTTCGAAGAGGTCCACTTCCTGGCCTGTATAAAGCCTGGGATGCCCTATTTCCTCCACCTCTCATTCCCATTGATCTATCTTTATCTAGTTTTGAATTATCTGGAAAAATAAATGCTCTCGTCAATCAATTTTATATATTAGGATAAAGTAAAAGAATGATAACACAAATGTTCTTCCAAAGGAAAACCTTAATTATATATTATGTTTATTCATACATTATTGTTGAGATTAATCAGAATCCTTTATCAAACTATATACTAAAGCTTTGTGAATAGTTCAAATATATAAATGATTAATCAAATCTGTTATAATATTCACCAAGGTCTGGTTAGTTTTGATCTCTATATTTGTAGTACTCTTCATGTATGCACTTTAAACATTATATGTGACATATACTAAATAACAGAACTTTGATATTATAAATGATCTGTTAATATTAATAATATGTTATACTCAAATGAATCTAAGAATTCAACAGCGATTGTTGACACTCTTGACAGTAACTCCACTTACTATCATTCAATGAAAAATCAAAAGTAAAGATTATGTAATCTTAAACTACTTCAAATAAAGTCACAACTTCTAGAAAAGTCGTGAACTTATAGTTAATACCAAACTTATTTCTTACTCTGGTTAAATTTCACAACATATCACAGCATAATAATTCCCGCTGTGGTTTTAGGTTAGCTTGTTTGGTGAGGTTAACCCTGTGAATGCACTCAACAGAATTGAAAGGGGGCATACACATTTATTAACTACTCCGCACAAAATATAACCGTGTAATCGCAAATGAAGATATTTATGTTATTCAATGATATATTTTTTTGCTGGGTACCTTGTAAAAATTCTCCCCACTTTCTGCGTCCTTTGTCGCGGTTCGCCATATTGAAGTACAATCATGCCTAAATTTTTTTAAATTAGAAAATACGAATTTATTTCTAATCATACGTGTACTCGATATATAAGTACTAGAGTTAATGGCTATATAAATAAGAATTACAGTAAATGATAAAACACATGTAAAAATTTAATTGTCGCCTTATATCACGCTGAATGCGGATGATACAAACAGAGATTTTCTCTCTGCTACAAATACGTCGTTCCATAGGTGGTGCTGGCGAATTAAACTTAAAAATAAGTAAATTACTAAAATGTTGAGAAAACCTTAATAATTCATAATCATAGAAAACATATGTCGTTTAATTATAAAATATAATTTGGCCGGAAAACCTTGCAGAGGTTTACCATGCGTTAAAGTAATTGTTACAACTGTCGTAACAGAATGCACATACACATACGTAACACGCCGTGGAAGAATGTTTTCATTACATTTTCTTGAAAGAAAAACTTTTATTTTTTATCAATTATTGAATCTGAAATGAAACTTATAGGTGCTTTTGTGGAATGTATAATACTGAGAGTTTTCTTAGAAAAACTTACTGTATAACAGCGTACAAGCTTATTAATAAACATTTTTTTAAAATATCTGTGTGTGCCGGTCAGATGTTTGCTCCGTGTGGTACTGTTAATCGTACATTAACAACCGCTTTAAGATGCAAGCGACGAGTTGTCGTAACAGGAATAGGAGTAGTATCTCCTCTTGGAGTTGGTGCACAAAATGCCTGGCAAGCACTTATTGAATCTAAATCAGGCGTCATCAAGTTATCTGATCCAGAATACGAAAAATTGCCTTGCAGAGTTGGTAAGAATATCATAAAGCTTTTAACTTATTAAATACATTAATGCATTTTCTACAGGTATGTATAGGTGCATATAATTGTTTTGTAGGTGCATTAGTACCCAAGGATAATGAACCTCATGGATTAGATATAAATAAACATTTCACAAAAAGTGATTTACGGACAATGTGTCCTGCTACTGCATACGCCTTAATAGCTACAGAAGAAGCAGTGAATGATGCAAATTGGACACCAACAGATGAAGGAGACAAAAGAGATACGGGTGTATCAGTAGGAATTGGGATGATAGATTTAGTTGATGTATGCACGACGTATGAAGCCTTAAAAAAGGGATATAACAAAGTTAGTCCCTATTTTGTACCAAGGATTTTACCAAACATGGCTGCAGGGCAGATTAGTATTAGATATGGTTTTCGTGGTCCAAATCATTCTGTATCAACAGCATGTGCAACAGGAGCACATGCAATTGGTATCACACATTTCAACAAAATTGGAGATGTAACCTTATCTAAATTATAATTAAATGATTTATATAATTTGCAGGTGATGCATTTCGTTTTATCCGTGGTGGAGAAACCAGTGTTATGATATGTGGTGGAGCAGAAGCATGCATTAGTCCTCTTGCTATAGCTGCTTTTTGTAGACTCCGGGCATTGTCCACTAGCAAAAATGATTTTCCATATGAAGCTTCACGACCATTTGACAGAGACAGAGAAGGATTTGTCATGGGAGAAGGTGCTGCTATTTTAGTGATCGAGGAATTAAATCATGCTCTTGAAAGAAAGGCTAAAATTTATGCAGAAGTATTGGGATATGGTTTATCTGGAGATGCAGCACATTTAACTGCGCCTAGCGAAGATGGCACTGGAGCTATACTAGCTATGGACCGAGCTGTGAAAGATGCTGGGATAGAAACTGTAGATATAACTTCTATTAATGCGCATGCAACTTCAACTCCCCTAGGTGATGCTATTGAATTAAAAGCAATAGAGTCGTTTATGGGGCAACACAGTAAAAATGTGACTGTCACTAGTACTAAAGGTGCTCATGGACACTTATTGGGGGCAGCTGGGAATTTGGAAGCAATCTTTACTATTCTAGCAATAAAGAACGGTGTAATACCTCCAACATTGAATTTACATAATTTGGATATAAAAACGTCACTAAATTTTGCCCCTAACATAAAGAAATGCTGGAACGTGGAATCTAAACGAATAGCCTTGAAAAATGCTTTTGGTTTTGGAGGAACAAATGCAAGCTTATGTTTTGCAGAGTACAATGAATGAATCGACCATTAGACTAACACTATTTTCAAAAAAAGGCATAATAATGTACGACATAATAATAACAAACTAGTCACTCCCTAATGTACATAAATAAATACATGCATTTGCATTTGAAATACACAGGTGCATAATTTCATTTTATAATGTAACGAAGTATAATTCTGTAAAGACAACAACTGAAACAAAAACTTGAAAAGTTTTGATACCTTTATATAATATATAACAAAACTTAACTGTATAATATGTTATGTAAAAACAAATTTTATATCATATTATTGTACAGAAAACTGAACAGAAAAATATATAATTTGGAATAACATAATACAATATGGAATGCAATATTTATTTTGTATTAAGTTTTAATATATTCCTACTATGTCATTATTACAACATTTACATTCATTTTACAGAAAAAAAATCATACCTTCTATCTTTGAAAAAATAAGATCCTCATAGAGCTATGTAGCAATTAATGAAGTTAACTTTTTATACAGTCGCTTGCAACGTGCAGTGAATCGTGATTTGTCAAAGTTTTATAATTTATATATACTACGCTCATAATTATACGAGCACACAGAAATCAGTCTCGTTTAACTCAGAACACTTCAGACGTATACTTTTTTTGTGCCTCAATTTGGTAGTTGTGTCCTAAAATTACCACGATAATTTGAATCCAGTTGTCAAAGTTAACATATGTTTACATATTTTAATTTCATTAATTTACAATTACAGTTTGATCTACAAATGTCTTTTATCTTCATGAATTCAGCTGCGTAGAAAACAACAAAATTCAACATATAACTGTTTCTCGGTACCTCTAGTTTATTACATGCAATTCTTTGCTTACAGATAAACCATACCATATGATGTCCTTACGATACATCTTCAACGATATTTTATGCACATAGGAAGGTTGACACCCAATGATAACAATTATCCGAAACACATATATTGCACTCCTGTTTCCTCTACTGGCAGCAAATCAATGTAAAAAAAGAAAGATTATATCCTATTAAGTAACAATACCTAGTAGGAATTTTTAATTAGGAATGATAAAGGGCTTGTGATGGCTGCATAAAATAGCAAAACGTTTTCTAAGTGTTTGACGAAGTTCTTGTCGTTTTTTAAGAACTTGGCACATTCGAGATTTAAACTCCAACACTTCTTCTGCTGGAATATAACTTTCTTTTTCTTCATCGCCTGATAAATAGGAATCCTGAAAAAGAAATAAATTAATTAAAGAGTACAATCCAAATTTTTATTAATAACTGAACCATGTTAAATTACATACTTCTAACATTTGTGTAAGAGTTAAACCCCCACCCCTTTCCTTTAATAAGGAGATACTAGAACTGGAATGAACAAGTTTATTAGATGGTCGTAAATCATGACAATCTCTCTCATGGTTGCAACAACCATCGTTGCAAGCTACTTCTGATCCTTCAGGAGTGCTGGGAAGAGAAGAACTGCTTATATTATGTTCCGAAGAATAACCACAATCTTGCGACGATTGTTCGCTCGAGGAACGACTTTTCCTTTCCGAGATTGATAGTTCGAAACGTTTCTTCATTTCTATCCACATGTTACATCTTTTGCTTGGCTTCCCTATCCAAGCGTCTACGATTTCTTTAGTTATCGGATCCTTGCAGTCTTCTAGATTGTGCCAATGGCCATTTTCAATCTTCTCAGAAAGATCCTGTAGATTGAGCGATATTTAAATCTTATCACGTTCAAGGATATCCAGAGCATGTAACCATGTAATACATTGAGTTATTACCTTATACGATTCGCATGCATCAAATAGTTCTTCTTCGGAAAGATCCTTAACAGGTGCATTATTCTTTCTAGTTTTGTTTATTGCGATTTTCGTCTTAGATTCAGTAGAACCTTTCTTGGCCGAACTTTTTTGCACGTTCGACGCCTTCTTCGGGAATGCTAATTGTGTTTGACTTTGTGACCGTGTTATACTGGACTTTGATTTTTTTACACAGTCTGAACACTTACACGTAGGTGGTCCCTTGTTTTTTGGATCTAATACTTGTAACTGAAAGTGGAGAACATAATTATATGTTTGCGTATAATTATACAGAATAACAAGTATGACAAATTCATTTACCTTATGCTGATCTATATTTTGAGTTGTTGGCTTTGAGTCCGCACAAATACAAGGTGTGTCACTATTACCACTTTGCCTTTTGTTTAAACACTAATAACAATCAAATTACACAAACATATTATACACGTCCAGCGATCGAAAATATTGTTATTTACGAGTAATAACGTACATCACATGCATTTTCCTTCTCTTCTGTCTCATATCGACGTTCTTTCTTCTTTTTACGTTTCAAGCGCAACTTTTCTCGTCTCTGTTGTTTCGCTATTTCTTCTCTCGTTAATTCCTCATACAGAAGTTCTAACTGGGAAAAACCTTGCTTAACTTCTACAGCCATCTACAGCAAGCAACGTTATCATTTAGAAATAAATCGATCATGTTGATACTATTCTATATACTCCATCGCCCGTACTTGAAAATTCCTAGACAATGCATCCACCGCAACAGCAGCTAACACTTTGCACACAGTTGCCTCTTCTCTTAATCGTCTATGAACTTTATGTAAACGTTCAGCGACACACATTCCCAGACATGTAAGTACCTCTTCTTGAGCAATTTCCAAAGTTTTTGCATGTCGTTCCCTAAAAATCAGAAATCATTTTATAAGTGATTTATTATAAGAATTCATGTCTTATACCTTCCCATGAGTTCCGGTTGCGTACGTCCAATAAGGTCACCCATATAACGCGGATTTGTAGGGATATGCACATGTCGGTCATGTATACAACGTCTGATTCCAGCATACAATGACGCCACGTAGCCCTTCTCTTTTTCTGGTTCTGGTTCTGTTGTTAACAGAGAAAATGCCAGCAAAACCTTTGTCCGACATTCACCACAAAACCTGCAATAATGCATGCGATATAAGACTTAGATTTAATGAAAAGAATTTATAAGCTTACCGATGTTTACGTAAATACGTATCCAATGTAGCTTCAAGAGTATCACTTTCTATTAATGCCAGTTCCAAATGACATGAATGATCCATACAGTCCCAAACTTCTTGCCATGCATTTGGTGGAGGTCTCATGCGTTGAATTTCTAACGAATGTAATGCACATCTTCGCGATTTTTTATTCCTGGGCTGACCTTCAACTAAACTGTTTAACCTAGTGCTGTAATGAACATCAGAATTGTCATACGTATACAATAAATCAATGTAGTATTTCTATTTCATTACCTATGCTCTTGTAACATTGTACAAAGTAATTGTGGTGATTCCAAAATGTCATCCTTTATTGTTAATAAACCTTCAGGTGTAATCACCAAAGGATCTAATGCTGGATGTCCTGACTTCATGAGGTCATAGAATAATCTTTCAACACTACATGTATGTATAAAATACAGATTAATACAGGTTTTAATTGTCTACTCATAATACAGATACATTTTATGAGAACGTTTCATTATACCTTCTCCTACAACCAACACATGGTACAACTTGGCCTAAGATTGCAAGCATGTCCTTGCACGTTACTTCAAAGGAAGCTTTAATTTCTTCTTTTGTAAGCATATTAAGTTTCCTGGTGAATTCATCAAGCTCTTTACCGCAAACTAATGGACTATCACAGATTGCTTCCAAGCCATTTATATCCATAATCATCTATAATATAATAAACGCTGTATTGCATTAAATGATTAAATTCATCTTTATTCCATATTTATGAAGAAAAATTGTATATTTTTACTTAATTGCAAAAGTATTCTAAATCTGTGATAAATGCCCACGTACCATACACTTTTAACAGGCAGAGATGTAAACTGCATGACATTAAAAGGTTTATAGGTGCAAATAATTTTATATAAAATTGCGTATATTTAAATACATTTTATATTTCATTATATGTAAAATCGGAGTACTAGAGTATAACATGTCACTCTTATTACTAAATGTATCGTACAAGTTTTCGTCTGATTCACCTAACTATATCTTCTCGAAATACGAAAAGAAAACAACATACTAATTTGACATTCCTTTTCCAATAGAAACAAGTGAATTTAGAGTGATATTATGAACGCAAGCGCAAAGGGAAAATGGACAGCGAGTAATAAAAATTTGTTTTTATTACATGTCAAAGGTCAGAAGTTATTAAGCAAGATACAGATATTAATCATAGTACATCTAATTAGTTATGGCATAAGCGCATGCATTCATTGCCACGCTTAGGTTAAGTCAGAAATATCGTAAGATACTATTACGTAAGTTCTCTTGGACTTTTATCTCCCAGCAGATCGAAACTGTTCGAAATGACAAAAGACAATTAGGCTTACTGTAAGATTCTCATCTACGATCAACGGCATTTGTCTTCGCGTCAAATCGACCGGGTCATCGTCCCGCCAAACGTCCACGAGTCTCGCCATTGCTGTGCAATTTCTCGAGCAATTGATGTATGTATGAAAACGTCCGATCTCGCAGAACGTTATAGAGCGTGTTCACGAATAATTCGCAATCTACTGCCAAGGCTACACCAAAAAAATAAGTAGACAGTTATTATACGTCTGCCATTTGCAACGAATGGGTTCTCACTTCCGCCCTGCGTGCATTGTCCCGCTTCCCTCTCTACGCGTCATCTTATCCTTATTCTAAATGTAGTAGAGATCATACCTATGTATTGGGTGTTCAACCACGTTTTTTTCAATCATTTTAATCATATGTCACAGAAACAAGTATTATCGTTTATAATTGATCTCAAACCAAAGAGATACACATGTGATCGCTTACATTAAAGTGACTTATGTACCTATTTCTAAATATTGCCAATAATAATTTAAACACGTACGTACACAATAAACTGTGGATAAACTATGTACCTGCATGCAAATGTCCATGTTCTTAAATTTGTATAACGGTATACCAGTTTTGTATACAATGCTAAATTAGAACAATATTTATACAATCTGCCAATTCACTTCACGACATCTATCATATTATTGTAAAATAGAAGTGGGAAGTAAGGATATTACTTGAAAAATATCGTTACGGTTTTTGTATTTTAGTATAAAAATGTATTATTTTTACGTACATCGCTTATAATTATACCTTATTATGGAATAACAGATTAATATTATACATTTCACGAAGTGGCATCAACTAATACGAACATCAAAAGTTCCGACTTCGATGAGGTTTCCCTCTGTAAGAATTTCCATTATACTGATTTCGCAATATTTCACTTTTTTCCTTATTAATTTTGTTATTTACAGGGTGTGTAGCATCTGCATCCTAAATATACTTACTCCATATCTAGCAATTTTTTTACATTTTGTTATCAAAATTATGTTTTCAAAGTATATTTGGTTATTGCCATTACTCATATCTATGAGTTTTTTATACTCGACTGATTATGTGAATGATGTTCAATTTAATTTCGTTATCAAATTAATAAATTTTGTTAAAGATTCTTAT